TGTCGTAAAATAATCTATTGTATCTATAATTTACAATCTGTTATGTAATTGCATTGTATTGTGTTATATTATATAAATTTATAATATGTGTTTTACAAAGAAAATATTTCTCTGTTAATTTGTAATCCGTATAAAAATATATAGCGAAAATTTCATTTAGCGAAGATAACATAACTCAAATAATACGAGAAGTATGAAATCTTCATTCTTAAAATATTTAAAATGGCCATTAAAAAAAAAAAAAAAAAAAAAAAGTTGCAACAATAGCCATGATGATGTTTCAACAAAATCTCATTCTTGAATTAATATGATATATATATATAGATTAATTTACTATTTTAAATCGTAGAAATGTTATCGCAATTTTTAGTTCTGATCCATTTTTCAATCACTCCTCATATTTCATATTTCATTTTTTCAATTTAATAAAATACCGAGTTAATGAGATTAACTAAAAAAATATATAGTTAAAAGAACATTATCGTAATGTTCAATTGAAATTTAAAAATCGTTAACATAAGAGACACGATACTTTCGTGTGAAATATATGTGTGGCGCCACAAAACACACACATACATACATATTTATATATTTGTAATAATTCTTTTTGTTATGTGGTAATAATATATTTTGTAATATTTAGGAATTGGCATTTATAAATGTTATCTTTTAGTTGAAAATACAATGTTTCTTATATAGTTTATTCTTTGTTTGGTAGATGGCGCCACAACAATTGTCAATTCTCACAAAAATGGTATTAACTTCACACGTGATATATAAATGAATTAAGTATTTTATTAGGATGGTAGGATTAAATTACTTTTTTCAAAGGTTATTTGGGATGAAATAATTCTCATCGCTTCGAAAATGGCACTGATATTGCCATTGCCATAAATTTAATCTATTTTATCAATAGTTTACAATCTGTTATGCAATTATATCGTATTGTGTTATAGTATATAAATTTATAATATGCGCTTTACAAAGCAAATATTTCTTTGTTAATTTGTAATCCGTATGGAAATATGTAAGTGTAATTTCATGTCCTGTATGTAATAAGATAACGCAGCCCAAATAATACGAGTAATTCAGAATTTTTCGTTCTTAAAATATTCAAATTGGCTTTAAATATTGACACTTGTGAAATTTAAAATGGTACAAACAGATAAAATCTCTTTCCAAAGATATATTTATAAATATTTTTTTGATTAAATGTACCTCATTGATTTACAAATCATATGTTCATTTTACTATTTTTCAAGAATTTACGAATAAGTGAATGATTGTGAAACTCCAAATAAATTGTATTTACATAAGATTTATAGAATAATAGATTAAAATAATGTATTATTGATTTTTTTAAGTAAAACCTAAAAGACCGAACAGCAATGGAAAAAGAAGTAACGAAATGAGATATTAAAAAAAAACTACTTGAACATAAATTTTACATAATTTTTTTTTCTTTTTCTTTTCTTTTGTAAATACACTGAAGTGACAAAAGTCATGGGATAGCAATATGCAAATTTTCAGATGGCAGTAACATCGCTTAGAACAGGTATAAATGCGCAATGCTTTCGCAGAGCTTTTATTTCTGTTCAAGTTATTCATGTGAAGTGGTTTTGACGTGATGATGACCGCACGACGGGAATTAACAGACTTTGAACGCGGAATGTTAGTTGGAGCTAGACGCATGGGTCATGCCATTTCGGAAATCGTTAGGGAATTCAACATTCCCAGATCCACTGTGTCAAGAGTGTGCCGAGAGTATGAAATTTCAGGCATAACATCCCACCATGGACAGCGCAGTGGTCGACCGCCTGCACTTAACGACCGAGACCGGCGACGTCTGCAAAGAGTCGTAAATTCTAACAGACAAGCAACACTGCGTTAAATAACCGCAGAAATCAATGTGGGACGTACAATGGACTTGTCTGTTAGAACTGTGCGGAGAAATTTGGCTTTCTTGGGCTATTCCAGCAGAAGACCGACTCGAGTGCCTTTACTGACAGAACGACCTCGCTTGCAGCGACTCTCGTGGGCACGTGAGCATATCGGTTGGTCCCTAGATGAATGGAAAACCGTGGCCTGGTCCGATGAGTCACGATTTCAGTTGGTAAGAGCTGATGGTAGGGTTCGAGTGTGGCGCAGACCCCACGAAGCCATGGACCCGAACTGTCAGCAAGGCACTGTTCAAGCTGGTGGTGGCTCCGTAATGGTGTGGGCTGTTTTTTCATGGCACGGACTTGGTCCTCTGGTGCGACTGGACCGAACATTGAATGGAAATGCTTATGTTCAGCTACTTGGAGATCACTTGCAGCCATTCATGGACTTCATGTACCCAAACAACGATGGGATTTTTATGGATGACAATGCACCATGTCACCGGGCCACAACTGTTCGCGATTGGTTTGAAGAACTTTCTGGACAATTCCAACGAATGATCTGGCCACCTAGATCGCCCGACATGAATCCCATCGAGCATTTATGGAACATCATTGAGAGGTCTGTTCGTGCCCAAAATCCTGCACCATCAACGCTTTCACAATTATGGACGTCTATCGAGACAGCATGGCTCAATATTCCTGCAGAAGACTTCCAATGACTTGTTGAGTCCATGCCACGTCGAGTTGCTGCACTTCGCCGGGTGAAAGGAGGGTCGACACGATATTAAGAGGTATCCCATGACTTTTGTCACTTCAGTGTAAATGAAGTATTATATTAGGAAGGTAGGATTAAATTAATTTTTTCACAGTTTATTTGGGATTAAAAAATTCTCATCTCTTCGAAAATGGCACTGATATTGCCATTGCCATAAACTGGCACTGATATTGCCATTGCCATCTATTTTATCAATAATTTACAATCTGTTATGTAATTATAGTGTATTGTGTTATAGTATATCAAATTATAAAATGCGCTTGACAAAGCAAATATTTCTTTGTTAATTTGTAATCCATATGAAAATATGCAAGTGAAATTTCATGTCCTGTATGTAATAAGATAACGTATCCCAAATATTACGAGTAATTCAGAATTCTTCGTTCTTTAAATGTTCAAATTGGCTTTAAATATTCACACTTGTGAAATTTAAAATGGTACAAACAAACAAAATCTCTTTCCAAAGATATATTTATAAAAATTTTTTTAATTAAATGTACCTCATTGATTTACAAATCATATGTTCATTTTACTATTTTTCAAGAATTTATGAATAAGTGAGTGATTGTGAAACTCCAAATAAATTGTATTTACATAAGATTTATAGAATAATAGATTAAAATAATGTATTATTGATTTTTTTAAGTAAAACCTAAAAGACCAAACAGCAATGGAAAAAGAAGTAATGAAATGAGATATTAAAAAAAAAAAAAAAAAAAAAAAAAAAAAAATGCTTGAACATAAATTTTAAAAAAATTTTTTTTTTCTTTTGTAAATAAATGTTGAAGTAACCGAATAAGATTAAGACTAAATTTAATTTGAAAATTTTCTCAAAATAGTCTATAATTTTTGCAGAAACTATTTAATATATTTCTAAGATTTTTAGAGCAGTTAGTTTAGAGCACCTTATTTGCAATTACTAAGGTTTTTAGAGTAATATTTTTAATTTTAAAATTAAGTTAAAAGAATAATAACATGAATGAGTCAGCAATGTTTTACTTTAATTTATTGATTAAAATATCAATATTTTAAAGATTAAAAAAAAATTAAATTTAAACTAGTACTCTTTTAAGTTTTATACATATATACATTTAATTTTAATTAGTATATATTAGAATTACATGACATAACTTAATTGGATATGATCATAAATAATTATTTTGAAGAATTCGCTAACTGATATTATAAATGTTTTTATTTAACACATTAAAACCATTTTGCTCATTTTGTAAATTTTTACGCACATTTTTACAAATTACTAAATAATAAATATGACTTATTCGGTATTATAAAAATTATTTTAAATCATACATAACGTTTATAATATATTTTTGTAAAATAAACTATCAACTACTTCTATTCGCATTACAAAGAAAATCAGAATTTTCGATTTGAAATGTATAGTATTTTATTGTATTTTTGTATGCCAGTCACGAAAATTATGAAAAAAATTTTTTTATTAATACTTATATATAAGAATACATTTATGCGCAGGGAATTTAATTTTCGAATGAGGTATATGAAGAAATCCAAAAGTGCTAAATATAAGCCCTTTTAAAATTTTATAATGGAACTCAATAATTTAACTAATATTTCGCTGTGATCCTATAATTTAATAATTATTTCTATTTTATAAGTAATTAAAATCATTAAGATTTTTTTTTTCATTACATAATTTTATGTTTTGTTTATAAATATTTTATTTTTTATTCATTGTTTAAAAATTGAGACACTTCAATAACTTTTGTTTAACCTTATAAAAGTTTTAATAATTATTATACTTATTTATTTAATGAATTTAATAATAATTTAGTAAGATTTAACATAAAACGGATAGCTATTTAATTAATTTCTCGTAGAAAAAAATCAAAATTAACATTAATAATTAATAATTTACGTATGCTTAAATAAAATATGTTATCTCTTATCAATGGTGAAATTGCTAAATTAATCTATTTTTGGTTTTCTTTCGTAAGCTGAGCTTAAAGAAAGTTTTAGAAAAAAAAAAATTATATTTTTTTAACATATTAAAAAATACTCTAAATAATTAAACTTTTCTGTTTTAATATTTTTTTTATACCGGTTTTTTTTTAAATAATTAGAGAGTGTGATAATGCAGTTCTAAATAAATGTTAAAGAAATAAAAAAATAAATAGTTCCAAATATCATCCGATCTGTATTTCATAGAGGATTTCCGCAAAGAAAACGTCTCATATCCAGCGAAAATCAAATTAAAAGATTGGATTTTGCTAATGAATATATCCATAAGGTTTTTAATTTTCAATAGCTGTTTCTTTTACCGATGATAGTAAATAGAGTGCTTTTTAAAGAATGATTTTGCCAACGGCCATACCATGCTGAATATACCGGTTCTCGTTAGATCACCGAAGTCAAGCATCATTGGGCGTGGTCAGTACTTGGGTGGGTGACCACCTGGGAACACCGCGTGCCGTTGGCATTCACAAATTTGGGAGAATGAATGGCCGAGTGTCTAGCGCTCCGGCGCTCGGTGCTACAGGTTTCGGGTTCAAATCCTGGCGGTGCCATGGATGTTTGTAGTGGTTCGGAATCCACTTTTAAGCCATAGGTCCCGGTCTCCTATGACTGCAAGAGCGTCACGGAGCCAAAGTCAGACTTCTACCTACGGGTGCTCCATCACAACAGAAGTTGCTTCCTTCCTTCCCCTTCAATCATGAGTACGTATGGGCTCGTGGGCTTGGCCAGCCAAGTGGGATAAGAAACAACAACAACAACATGATTTTGCAAAATGTTTCTGCTGAGAAAGAACAATTGAAACTCATAAAACTGATTTTCCAACAGTGAAGCTTGGTGGAGGAGGAGGAAATCAAGATTTGGGTGTTGATGTAGGCTGCTGGTGTTGGAAAAATAGCCTTCATTGTAGGTAAGATGGATTGTTTCAAATATTCGAAATGAGATATAATTTGCAGGCATGTGTTGAAACTTCATAGCTTGGAAATCAGCGAATCTTTCACAATGGCAACGACCCCAAGCACAAAGCGAAGATAAACAATGGCTCATCAGACCAGTGCTCAGTTCCCCCAGTTTTTGATTCCTAACATGTATAGAATAAACCTGACAAAAGAGTTAGAAAATGTAGTGTTCGATATAAGAATTCCTTATAAAAGACATTGTTGCTAGAGTAGCCTAACATCACGCCAGAAACCACACAAAATTTTATTGCTTCAATGCCTTGAAAATTATAAGCGGTCATTGATTAACAAGGTAAAGATAGACAATCTTAAATTATTTTCTGTTGTTTAAGTATTGCTCATTTTCCTTTTCTTTGAAGTGTATGCACACTTTTGTGTTATATAATTTTCATTACATGAATTATTTTTCGTTTATCTGTTTGAAGTGTTTCTGTTTTTATATAAATATAGGCTAACTTAATTTGTATTTCAATATAAAAAATATGACCGGTTTTATAATTACATAAAAATACCATTTTTGTAGGTGTGTTTTAACTTTGATTTATTGTATGAATATGGACTGAAACGTACATCTACCTCGTCGTGGTGCACCCCGGGCAACGTTTGATAAGACAAAATGATCTATAACTACTGCCTTAAATATGGCTCTCAGTGTGAGTTTCTTAGAGTACGCAGTGGAATGCAGGTTGATTGTCCCATATCAAGGAGAGAGGATAATTGAAAGGCCCTTAGGACTCCTTCATTGAGGATGTTGCCACTAGAAACAATCACTAGTCCTGGTATGATCATATTCAAGATATCCCTGAATGGCCTAGAGGAAAATTGGCGGCATTGTGGTGGTGTGGTTACGACTTTCTCCGCAAACACCTTCACAGAATTAATCTGACTCCCGACATTCTCTGTCTCATGTGTGATAACCAGGAAGAAATGGATACATCTCAACTGTCTTCCTGTTCTGCACTGCCTACTGTTTCTTTATAGCAGTGCTATTTGATTGTCAGACATAATTGATGGATGAAATGATGTCATTTGCTTCTATCTTGTTTTTTTCTTAGTATTTATTTTTTATTACATCTGTTGACCTGTGTCCTGTTAATTTGCCACTGGAAAAATGTTTTTTGAATAAATATATATATATATACACTGAAGTGACAAAAGTCATGGCATAGCAATATGCAAATTTTCCGATGGCACTAGCATCGCGTAGAACAGGTATAAATGCGCAGGCAGAGCTTTCATTTCTGTTCAAGTTATTCATGTGAAGAGGTTTTGAAGTGATGATGACCGCACGACGGGGAATTAACAGACTTTGAACGCGGAATGTTAGTTGGAGCTGATGACGCATGGGTCATTTGCCATTTCGGAAATCGTTAGGGAATTCAACATTCCCAGATCCACTGTGTCAAGAGTGTGCCGAGAGTATGAAATTTCAGGCATAATATCTCACCATGGACAGCGCAGTGGTCGACCGCCTGCACATAACGACCGAGACCGGCGACGTCTGCAAAGAGTCGTAAATTCTAACAGACAAGCAACACTGCGTCAAATAACAGCAGAAATCAATGTGGGACGTACAAGGGACTTTTCTGTTAGAACTGTACGGAGAAATTTGGCTTTCTTGGGCTATTCCAGCAGAAGACCGTCTCGAGTGCCTTTACTGACAGAACGACATCGCTTGCAGCGACTCTCGTGGGCACGTGAGCATATCGGTTGGTCCCTAGATGAATGGAAAACCGTGGCCTGGTCCGATGAGTCACGATTTCAGTTGGTAAGAGCTGATGGTAGGATTTGAGTGTGGCGCAGACCCCACGAAGCCATGGACCCAAACTGTCAGCAGGGCACTGTTCAAGCTGGTGGTGGTTCCGTAATGGTGTGGGCTGTTTTTTCATGGCATGTACTTGGTCCTTTGGTGCGAGTGGACCGAACATTGACTGGAAATGCTTATGCTTAGTTACTTGGAGATCACTTACAGCCATTCATGGACTTCATGTACCCAAACAATGATGGGATTTTTATGGATGACAATGCGCCATGTCACCGGACCACAACTGATCGCGATTGGTTTGAAGAACATTCTGGACAATTCCAACGAATGATCTGGCCACCTAGATCGCCCGACATGAATCCCATCGAGCATTTATGGGACATCAGCGAGAGGTCTGTTTGCGCCCAAAATCCTGCACCATCAACGCTTTCACAATTATGGACGTCTATCGAGACAGCATGGCTCAATAGGGAGTTTTTGCATTTAAAACGTTAGTTATAGGACGTCCGTTATTTTTCTCCCATCGCGCATGCTCAGTTGCCTATGAGCATGCGCGCTAGGGAAAAACAAACGTCCTACAAACAATACGGTAACAAAAACTCTATATATTCCTAAAAGAAGACTTCCAACGACTTGTTGAGTCCATGCCACGTCGAGTTGCTGCACTTCGCCGGACGAAAGGAGGGCCGACACGATATTAAGAGGTATCCCATGACTTTTGTCACTTCAGTGTATATATATATGTATTAAACAGCCCACAGATAGGAATATTTTCGTCTCTAGGAGAACACTTAATGCCAAAGGCAAACGCACCATATTCCAATGTCATGTAAAAGCATTAAATATGGTCTCCATCAAACTGGCATAATAAAAAAGAGTTTTGATGGTGATGCCCCGAGTATTTATCTTTTTTTTATATATTTAAAAGAAAAATTGCAAAACGTGTCTCATATAAGGTTGCGCACCATTTCTTAAGTGTCATTCCTCTTTGTATGATAATCAGACAGGTCCATATTTTACAATAAATCACATATATATATATATATATATGCATAATATTTATAATTGTATTATTTTTTAATTCTTTCTACTTGTAATGAATGATTAATTCAATTTATTTCACAATTGTGTTCTTAAAATTATATAGATTGTATATATATCATTTCTACTATTATTTTTTATTCTTATAAGAAACTATTTTTTCTTCTAAAAATTTTATTCATTTAAAATTAAAAAAATATGTATTTATTTATTCTTTTAAGAATAAGAATGAAATGTTAGTAGAAATAAAGTACAAAAAAACAAAAAATACAAACAATTTAACAAAATATAAAGTATAAAAAAGAACATTTCTATTGATAGCTGCTTTGCTATAATTAGCATTAACGACGTTTTGTCATTAATTTAAACATCTGCGTTTCTAATCCATCTAAAAGATAAATTCATTTTCAATCCAGGTAGTGTATAAATATAAGTGCAGTAATTGTTTTTAAAAATCCTATTTTAAGATATTCCCTAAAGATATATACTGTATTCAATATATAATGTTATAAATATTGTTAATGTAATTAGATGTATATATATATATATGTTTACTTAATTATTAAAATTCTAATAATTACTTATTTTTAATTTCGAAAAAATTATCTTCCAAGTTTATGCTAATGAAAAATACTATACAGATATCTAAAATTTAACAATCGATTTTCATTTTTATTTATTTATTTGCTATTTCAATTCTTTTTTTCTCCTATTTTTGCAAATTCAAAAGGCTAATTAAAATTAATAACATGTACCTGTAATTTGTACTTGTTAAGATGCTGCAAGATCTTAGCTTCAGATATATGTATGAATTCTTTAATAACGTCATATGTTTGTTTTAATTATTAAAAGTATTGTAACTAGTTCTGCTGTTATATTTTAATCTCCAAACTTATATTTAACGTTAAAATTATATTCATAATACCATTGCAAATAAACATTATATATATATTTAAATATTATTGCAATTAAAAATTACATTAATTAAAATATTATTGCTAATATAATCTATAAGATTAAATTATTTATCTAATTCAGTAGTTGAAATTTATAAGTGCAGAAATTGTTTTGAAAATGCAATTTTTAAATTAAAATACTGTATTAAAATAAAATTGCTTTTCTATTTTTTATGAAACAAAATTATGACACACAGAAGTTTAGTGGTTTCATTGGTTTCAAACTTTTATATAATTGTTTTACAAAATCTAAACTATCGTAAAATACATCATTAAGATAAATTAATTAAAATTAATTATTTCTAAATTTCTTATAAAACATGAGCCCATTGAAAGTTACACATATAACAGTTAAAGCAAATAAAAATTGTAAATTTCAGTTTTTACTTAAAAATTGGTGAGCATAATATGTTTTTATGATTTTAAACAATGTGCATGAATGAACACGGCTGTTTATAAGCATGTTAATTTATTTATCACATGTCATGTTTTAAAAGATATATATATATATATATATATATAATCATATTATAAAATTACTTGCTATAAATAATTTGTTTCAATTATTAAAATTCTAATATTTAACAATTTTTAATGTTGATAGTTCCTCTTTCCCTTTTATATTAAATAAAACTATTTTTGATTTATTAATCTGCTTCTGTTGGTATTTTAATTTTTTATTCTTATTTTGTATATTATGTGATTATTTAAGATATAATCTATAAATTATGCTTGTTACCA